TTACACTGTTTACAATTTGGGAGCTGACAGATAGACAGAGAGAGAAACAAATCCTCTCTGCAATAGCACTGTATCAAATCCACGCACAGCACACAAAAACTATCCTCACCTTTTTCCTAGAAGAGAGCCTGTTCCCACTCATGCTGGTGAGAAGAGTGCCATTCTTGTCTAACCTTGGTCATCAACCATGAACCAAAAGCGTCTTCTTATGTTCATGTGCAGCACGACAACACGCTGGTCATGGAGCTTTAATTGGACCTGAAGTTTTGAACCAAACCTGAATGTAGCCCAACAACATTCTTCAACTTGACCTACACTTCAGCACTTTACCCCAGCCCCACTTCAGAATCTAAACTAGTCTGACAGAATTCTGTCTGAATAATATTGACAAAAACAGCCCTTACTGGCTCACTGATGACCAAATTGAACATTGAATAGCCTAATTATCAGCTTTTCAGAAATAAGTTTAAATTCCAGTTTAACTAAAGCAGAGGGGCATGCCGAAATCAGTTAAAGGTGGGAGATGGCCTATGAGAGAACCCAAGCCCGACAAAGCCCAAGAAATTACTGAACCTTATCAAACTCAGACGCGAATAGTTGGGCCTTGTCGGTTCAGATAAATATTTTAAGCTCTTGCTGGTTGTGGTGATAATGTGAGTGTGATTTGCAGTGAATCCTCATCCCTCGCTGTTGTTAGGTGGTGACTGCAAGTGCTGAACTTCACCCGGGGATGAGTGGATACGCTCTGATTACTGTCTCCCAACAGCCTGCTGTTTCTAAAATGCCTCTAAGCCATTCAGATAAAGCAGTTTCATTCTCCACTCCCTTTGCTGCTCCTCTCCTGCTCAAAAGCATTCCTAAAGAGGCTGTGGTAAACCGCTGTCCCCTAGCAACTTGACATGCAGGGAGAATCAGTGAGTTGCAGACTTGGGGGAGTGTGAGGTATAAAGCTTCTAACAAAGAGGGCCCAGACTGCGGAGGGTTGCAGAGCACTAAAAAAACGCATGTGACTTTATGGGGCAGGAGCTGCTTTCCATAATCCACTGTACTCCCTCTCTCTCTTTCTCTCTCTCTCTTTACACACACACTACTTTTTACATTTACTTCCAACACAAACTTTATATCTTTTCAGTTCTCCATGCCTGTCTTGCAGTGTTTAGTCTTGCACTTGGCCTACAGTGGCATAATATTGTAAGACAAATGATAGATTTACAGTGAAAAATGTAAATCAGAGCAAGCAATTCTTATGTCCAGATATACTAAATGCTGCTGGGATGTGTAATGTATAAATACTGTACAAGCAGTGGTGTAACTGCTGGGTGGGGCAATCACCCTGGGGCCCATGGCACAGTGGGGTCCTCAGCAACTGGGCCCTTAGATCTTGCATTGGGCTCTTCATATAGACACAACAACATGCCACGGTTGGCCTGAACAGCATTTTACAGGCTTTTAATACTCATTAATATCTGAGTACTTGAATACTCATTCTCAGAATCATCTTTAGAAACAGGAATATCATTTGCAGTCATCTGTCTCATGCAAAAGATATGCTTCCATTTAAATAAATAGTTCAGTCCACACCAGCCACAGTAGACGCACATTTGTCTATCAGAACGCAAGACTACTTTTTGTAAACTTGCGTGCGAGTTACAGATTTCAGAGCAGCTCCTGTGCTGTACTAACATTGTGTGGCTTCTACTCTTCTCTGACACAGCAATAAAAACTTGGCCAAAATGATCACAGTTTTTTCTACACCCACTGTTTAATTATGAAAGTGAGGAAAAAACTCTGAAATGTTTACTTGACAGAGCCAAGTTGCGGCAGTATGGACTCTACACATGACGGTACTTGGACAAGGATCACTACACTTACATATCATCACTGTATCTCCAATTATGTCATTTTTTAATTTTTCTACATCATTTCAACACACCAGCTGTCCTTTACGTTGTGAGCAAGTTCATGATGAATGGACCAACAGATATGCTCTAAAATCACTTGGAATAAAATCTCTTTACTTACTTTGAAAGGTAAGAGTGTTTTTGCCTTCTCGGGTTACTATTTTGGAGATACTTGTTTTTCTTTGGACAGTGACAATATTTGAAATGATTCACAATGATTCAAACTTGTCATGTGTTCATGGTTTACTAATCTCATCACAAATTTTGCACTGAGCTTTTTTTCTTATCGTCCGAAAGCTGAAAGTGCTCCCACATGTGGGTTGTGAAGAATCACAGCTTTTTTAGCTTCACTGGCCACGAGAAAAGTGGTGCAGTTTGTTGGGCTCTGAGGCAAGTTCATGCCTGGCATGAGTTTATGATGCATTCAACTAAACATTTTTAACATTTTGACAATAGCTGTTCTATCTGAAGGCCTCTGCTGATGACGTTAGCTTTCATCAACACTATACAGACAGCCCGATGTCTATTTATCTCCCTCTAATTCATAATGCAGCTCATCCATGGCAAATGTTTTGAAACAGGTCCTTTACAAACAAACACAATATATTCATTAGATACAATTACAAACTCTTAAATAGGTAGTCTAATGTAGACATTTAGGCTAACATTAGATGCTAGTGGGTGGAGTGGCATGCTTTTAGAGTATCAACTTGTAAGAGACATACTGGGCCAGATTCATAAAACTCAGTGGTAAAAGTGCTATTCTATGCAAAATGTGCTATGGTAAATAAAACCAGGTGAAGCTCCGGTTGGCTGCCCAAGTGAGTATGATGAAGGAAATAAAAACAAAGTAACAAAGAAAGCTAAAGTTCTCAGAAACAGAGCAACATATTTTAAAGAAAGAAATGCTAGTAAAATAGAATGAATTGTTTGGTAAGGATGCTTTTAACTTTTAAAGAAAAAAAACAGTTTGCTTTATCAGAAAATGTTGCTGCTGCTAGAAAAAATGATGTATAAAAAAGTTTATTATAACATCTTAAAATTGAACTTTTAATAGGACTTATATTTTTGCCTGTACAATTTCATTTCCCAAGGGTAAAAATTAAAGCCTTTTTCCAATTCATTTTGACTGCAGTAACATTTTCACTTACAGGAATTAAATTTTAACATGGTATTTTTATTACAATTAAAAATTAGGATGACATGCTGAAATTCTAGTAAGTGTTGTTTCTAGTAAGTCATTTTATCTTTTATTTACTATTTTTCTTGATCTCAGGAATTCAGTTTACATGTGTGACAATTACATTTTAACTAGTAAACATTAATTTTCACTAGTAAAAATGTCATTTTTACTGTAAATTGAATTCCTTAAATTGAAAAGGAAAAGTTAAAATTAGCTGCTCTAAAAATAACTTCAAATAAGTAATTAGAATCTCAACATGTCAGATTACTCTTGACTTAGTTGGATTACAAGCTAAACCTGCTTTCCATACACAGGGGATTTTCAAAACATTTACTGGGAAAAATTACTGCCAGAGTGGTTTAGTCTTTATTTTTCAGGAATTAATGGCTATTGCCATATTTAAATAACATGTACATTGCGCTAAAACATGCCTGAAGTCCTCTTTTATGAACGAGTAAACGTGTTACAGCCATGCTGTTTGCTCTTGTCACTGTAAATCTAGCTGTGCAGTTTATGAATCTGGCTCAATACTGGGTAAATAAGCAGATTACTTTGACATTTTTTATTAATTTAAAGTAACTGTCTAATAAAGGGTCCACAATTTTTTTGCACTGGGGCCTGTAAGATCCTAGTTATGCCACTGTTTACATGTTTATGAGTGTGTGTAAGTGTGTGTGTGTGTGTGTGTGCATTATCTTACTGGAAGACAAAGTCTGTGTTGTTGATCTGGCAGTTTCCTCTTTCTTTCATAACAATTGTAAAATGCGGTTGTAAGATTTCTTCTACCTTTGTCACTCTGCTGTGCATATTCACTTCCACTTCTTCCTTGTTAGCTGACATACAGTTGTACGTGTTTGCTGTCACAATGGTGAATAATGAATGCCGCTTTTCTAGGTCACTGTTCCGTGTCTATTTGCCATGTCAAGTTATCATGTGTGCGTCATTCCACTTAAAAACCGTAAAAACCTAAAATGATTTTGACTTACGGAGCTTGACAGTTGACAATTGAATAAACTGCCGTGATCAGAAGACATGACTGGCTGTGGCTAAAAATATGATCAAGCTCCAAACAAACCAGTGACATGACTACACATTTGTCGTCGACCCATCAAATAAAACACCACCCACCCCGAACCCGATGCACACCAGAATGTAGAAATGTATAAAACACAGAGATGTAAAAAAGACAGATGTAAAAAAATTGGCTCAGCCACCTCTTGCCTAGAGGTCTAGAGGAAGCTTTCATATCAAACTACTGAACACATGATAAGGCACAAAGAGCCATTAAACAATGGATCACCACTTACACTCACTCCCGTTTCCTCAAACGCTTCGTACGTCATAAATACTCCACGGTTTCTAAAAAGTTTAACAATCAAGACCACTTTGTAGAGGCGTGCGTATGCTTTGTGAGAAGCAGTTCATGTAACACATTAGCAGACAATATGAAAGCTTACTAAAAGGACCGTGTCCCTGCTTGGAATGAGACACTGTGGAAGTCGAGGCATGAGATTTCCCCCTTTACACCCTCCATACACTCCCAATGTCATCACCCTCTCAACAGAAGCATTATTTTCTCTAAAACACTGTCAACTTGTGCTGTTAAAACCATCAGTAAGATTATGTACAAAATATACAACATAGAAATACATACATACAGAATAGATTATTACAATGAGGCCTACAAAAGAAAACGACCAGTTTATCCAGTATTGCAGGCATGGCCACTATTATCAGTCAGCTTCTTTTCCCCCTTTCGGTCAGAAAATGCATCATATTGCAACGGTGCTCACATTTCATAGTCGTTTACAACAGACATAGTAAAGCTATCAAAAATCAAAAGTCTCCAAAATCACTCTAGAAAGTTTTTTTTGTTCTTTTGTTTCTCTACAACAATGTCAGTTAATATGTACAAGCCCTAAAAAATAATTTAATAATAATAATAATAATACACACTTTCTACACACTGTGGACGGGCGGAGTTCTTGGATGGAGCACAATGTGTGCTGATTGGCTAACAGTCGCTAAAGAGCAGTAGTTAGAGGAAGAGGGGTCACAGAGAGGAAGTGGTGGAGTCGACGATTTCTCTGCCGTTACACACTGTTGGAACGTAGTGGGCGCCCACTGATGCTGGAGAAAGAGAGAGAGAGAGATGTTGAGACAAAATGCGAGGGAACAAAAAATAATACCTACAATAAAAAAAACACACAGGCCCAATCCCGTTTCATCCCTCCCCCCTACCACTTAGCCCTACCCCTTTGTTTTGTGCGTTCAAGCCTAGGGGTAGGGTGTCCCTATTTTTGTTGAGCTAGAGGGGTAGGATGAAGTATTAGGGCTACATGGCCCTCCAATTAGAGGTTTTTCAGAGGCACACTCCAAACAGTGTTATGACGAAAGAAGCAAAACTGGCAAGATGGCTGCGCGAGCGACCAAAGAAACCCACAAATGTAAGTATTTTCTCTGTTAAAAAAATTACGATAACCACTGTATTATCTTAGTTTCGTGTTGTTTCAAAGTATTATGGTCCTTTTTTCCATAATAAGCATAAAAACTCGCTGGTAGTATGCTAATGTCTCTGTAGCGAGCTAGCTAAATTTCCCGTTCCACCTTAAATGGTGCAGCTGTTACATTCTGGCGCTGAGCATCAGAACTGCTGCTCCATGTAAGGTCGAAAGCACTCAAAAACAAGGGGTAGGGGTAAAAATAAGAAATGGGATTGACCCCTTAACTTCTGAATTTATAGACTTTCTTTCCTGCTCTACCAACCCCTTCTCACTCACCCCCTCCACCAATGCCACCCCACCAACATCGGCAGTGATTTCTTTTCTTTGCTGTGTATGTCATACTGTTTATCAGAGAGGTGAAATATGAATAAAGATGAAACAGTTTATCTAATCTGTTTTTTGTGTCTATGAATTAAACATTAGAGGAAAGCCACTGGGCTCTGCTTATACGGGCTTATTACTGTTCAGCAGGCAGAATCACCACTGCTCCCCTTGTGCATCAGGTGACAATACTGACACCCCAAGTGTGGCTTCAGTTGGCAAATCAAAGATGAGGAATCACTACAAATTGCTTAAGTACTGGCGGCATGAAAATTCAGCCATCTGTTTGGCCTTGTGCCACACCTGGTATTTTTTTTTTTTTCATTAAAAATGAATAGCTTATATTTCCTGTTACAAATCACCTCATTCGTATAAAGATAAGCACTGATCTTGACACTTCCAGTGTCGTCCAGAAGGACTATATTGTTGCTTTTGGAACAGAACCTTGTATCTCCATTTTTATTGCTTTTTATTTTTTATTTTTTTCCGGATGATTTAAAGATGGCAGTTGGCCTTTACATTGTGTTATTTAATGATGAACAGACAAACAGGCATTCTTCAAAAGAACTTGTAATAAGATCTTGTTCCATTATCTTCTATTAAAAGTTAAGAATGTTTTTCTCTCTTCTCCTATAAAGTTGCCAGTGTGGAGGTACAAGGTTTTGTTCCTACAGAGACCATATATGTTTTGACATGCAATTAACTATGAACACTGATAATACCAATTACAAGTTTACATTTGTGTAAACATTTCTATGCATTTACAGCTGCACTTGGTGAATAAATATGTTAAAGAACACATTTATTCGCTATTTAGTGATCAGCCTCTTCCCTAAAAGTAACAAGATAAGTAGTATGAAAGGTTTTAACAGTGCCAAAGCTGACATTGTGTCTTTTCAAACATCTTTTTTAAAAACTTTAGTTCAGTGCCAACTAAATGGCTCTATCATCATATTATTAATACTGTATTAATTAATGAATTAACAGTAGCAGATCTTACAACTTACCTGCAATTATCTGGCTGACATAGGATGTAAACCAGTTAGCAAGTAGGTAAACAGTGAATTTAATGTTTTGGAGACCCATTTAAAACATCATTATTATGCAGGTCTGCCATTTTTCTTGCATTGTGTTGCTCTATTTCAGTCCTCTTTGGTAATAATAACATCTATTTCTTTCCCCAACCTTACTGTACACTGGCTAGTCTCTACAGTCCTGAGCTTAATCGTTGCATTGTATACAATTGTATTTTGTAAAGAGAGTTTTTTATAGTGTTTGTGCAGGTTATTGTCTGTATTTATTGTCTTTTGTACTGTGTCTGCTGCTTTTCTTTGTTAAATGCAGCACCATGGCCTGGGGTAACGATATTTTGTTCCTCAACACATCTGTGGTGAGAAAGAATGACAAAGCTGACTTTGAAACTGAGCAATTCATTTAAAACCAGATCAAATCCAGACCATATCATTCAAATTCCCTATGAAAAACATGGACTTCAGCACTAAAATGCTGCAATGCTATGTACAGTGTAAAGCTATAATTCACTGTACACAATGGAAAAGGCCATAGGTTAAATCAAGGTTTGTGAGATGTGGACTGATCAACTTCATCTAAACTGTTGTTTTGCCTTACTTCACTGACATCTAATAATTTATTTGACTTGTATAAATCCAGTTAAACCACTTGTTCCTATATAAGGTACATTTTTAGTGACAAAAAAGTACTTAACAGTGTGGGTCCTCACCATGTGAAGCATAGGTAGTGGCGGGGCCACTGACACTGAAACGGTTGAGGTTGAGCCGGTGGCTGGTCACATTCTTCTGGGGTTGGAACATGATGATGTGGACCTTAGGGGCAAACATGCAGCCCAGCACAACAAACCCGCTCAGACTCACTGATATACACATTGTGGTGGTCTGAACCTGGGAGAGAGACAGCGAGACAGAGAAAGAGAGAGGGAATAAACAGTTCATTTACTCAGTACTTCAGTCACCTCCAGGATCTCCACAGATGCTTACAGACATGCTGATAATCAAATGTCATTAGTTAAAGTGGAATATAAAGGGAACAGTTAGAATGCTTGAGGGAACATGGGGGATAATTGCAATGGCAGTTAGCACTGTGGCTGCATAAATAATGTTTGATTAGATGTTATTTGGACATCTTCCATTAACAGGCTAATCTTCTCCACTCGAGGTGTAGATTTTCTCTCTTTTAGTGCCTCCCTGCCACTCTCTCATGGATTTCTGCTGTGACTGAGGCACTAAGCGGGTGAAGAATAGATATAGCAACTAAACTGGTTAGGAATGTCCTTCTCAGGGGCAGCTATATCTTTACCGAGAACACAGGAACACCTTACCAAAGCTAATGAATCAGCCTGGAATGCTTTCACAGAGAAGGGAATAAACAGTATGGTATAATCTGTTTTAGCTGGTCCTCTGTCTTCAGTATGAGCACTCTGCTGAATGCACGGCATACCAAGTAGATCTAGATAGTTGCTGATGATCTTATTAGCCGTGTACTATTTCTGTCTGTGTGTCTGTCAGTATCTCGCTTTCGTTCTCTGATCTGGCCCTCTCTCTGAAGTCTTTCAGTGTTTCTACAGGCATCAGCACTCTGTTTAAAGCGGTCTCGGAGGACTGGGCCCTCTCAAACGGAGATGCTCTTTCCCACTTCATTGACTGTGGCCTTGGAAGACCCGCATAGAGCAGACGGAGCAAACTAAGAAAAGTCCTGCACGCGTCAGCAATACATGTGTCTATACAGCAGAGCGGAGTTACGGAGTGTGACTTCGAGCTTTCTGAATGTGTATGCAGTACATGTGATACAGGACTGGGTTAATCACATTTCAGTGTTACTTGGTATAATCCGTGACTAATTCTGTTGGAAAAGATGCTGAGTTTCAGTGCTTGCATTACACTGACGCCTGAGGCTCGACACATTTATTGTGAAAGGCTGACCGATTAAGTGCAATGTTTATTATGGATTTAAATTCACTCTCTTCTTTTATTCTACTGACTCGGCGCACCCTTGTGCGTCCTAGGATGTTCTACTGTATTATGCATATCTTACTCAACAGCAGGCAACTCTATGCCTGGGGAGCACAATTGCCTGGTGGTTTCAACAGCACTGTTAATTCTCCACTCCATTTAGTTTTTTTTCAGTCCAGTGCGACTCAATTCAATTACATTTCATTCAGTTCTTTTCTTTACTTCCCAATAGGCTGGGTTTACGGAAAAAAAATAATTGCCATAATATTTTCTTATTAAAAATCCACATCGTGTTACCCATGTGACTGTGGGGGTTTATGCCAGTATCTGCCCTTTCAATGATTCACATAAAGCTGCTTGAGCATTAATAGCTCCCCCTTCTGGAGAATCTTAAGTCTGCTAAGCATGAGTGAGTGAGTAAGTGTGTTAGCCAGCTCCAAGAGGTATGTTGCACCTGAAAAAGAAACTTTTATGTCAATATAGTACCCTAGTATACAGCTACAAATAGCTGCTGAATGAAAGATTCCTGCGAAATTAGCTTGTTAGCCCTTTCACCCAGCTCCACTTGTGAATGGAGTGTTTTTGAGATTAAAGGTGAGAATGGCAGAGGACACATTCTATTTGTTATCTGTTATATGTTGGCAGTTACACTTTATCTGACACAAGGGTGGCAAAAGATGGTGGCAGAAAGAGGTTAGCTCAGGTTCAGAGTAGGGCAGCCAGGAGCATAAGGCAGTAAGAGTCAAAGTTCATGGGTGGCCACACTCTCAAGAATGAAGGTTCCTAAATTCGCTAGAATTTTCTAAAATGTCTTAGACATTATAGAACAAAAAAACTTTAGTTGGTATAGAACATTTACATATCTGGAGATACCTTAAACTTTAAAAAGGTTCTTCACACTCACATATCTCATTTACAGAAAGAGTTTCATCCACTGAAAGGATCTTTAAAGAACCTAAAGTGTTTTTTTCTGTAGCACCTCTCCAAAGAACCATTTTTGTCACCCTGGCAACATTTTACTGATCTCAGAAACGTATTGGGACTATTATAGAGTCCCACTGGCATCCTCTTAAACTGATACAAGCCCATAAGGGTAAAACAGTGGTCTTTTTCCAGTCACCAAGGTTCATCAACCTGCCAATAGACTTTTAATCTTACAACACTTTTGACTTTCCCATAGAAGTTAGTGATTCCTCTGTGTGTGGGAGGGGATACACATCTTTATGTGCAATTGCACTTAGCTTCTACATTTATCATGGGGGTGTAAACAGTGTGAGTTTGGGGTTAATTGGTGGGAGTGACATAGATTGCATGTCCTGTTAACGGCAGATGCAATCGGATATAAGGGTAACATAATATGGCCGCAAGGCCTTTAACTTCGGGAGAGTCTAGACAAGGATAGGAAAGGCAGGGCAGGGACAGAGGGGGCAGCTGTACAGCTGCAGACTCTCCACCACACTACATGTGTGCTGGTAAGAAAATGATTTATAAGTGGATTTGCTTGTAGTAAGTAGTAACCTCAATTAGGGGTGCGGGAAAAAATAGATTCTTAGATGCATCGCGATGCGGACGTGAACGATTCTGAATCGATTCACAAATGTCAAAAATCGATTTTCTAAATATTTAATTTATAACGTAATGTTGACGGAACGCAAAGGGCAGAACTTGGAAGTGGGTAAGTGCAGCACCCGGACAGTCTGTGGCGGCACACAACAAAAACACTATTGGATGAGCGAGAAATCCGACCGGCTCCCTCTGCATTAAAAGCCAGATTAGATCAGGAGTCACAACCCAAATGATAAGAAGAGACATTTTGTCCTTTCAACAAAAATCAAACCACCTTGGTAGCCACAACATTTATGTCCAGTATGTCTCAGTATGTGCTAATGTCCTAGTATAGGCTAAACAATAGAAACGAGAGTGCAGATTTACTTTGCTCTGCTTTAAGCTTCGCCTACAGCCGCTTTCCTCCCATCTCCGCCAGAAAACCTTTCCTCAAAACTAGAGCAGTTTCTTGTTAAATGTCTCTCAACATTCGGCTGTCTTACGAGGCTAAAGTCGCTTCTCATTCTCCAGCTTCTTGTTCGAATTTTCCCGTTCCACCTTAAATTTTGACTGAGGCGCCGAATGTAAATGAGGCACCATTTAAGGTGGAACGAGAAAATTCGGGAGAGAAGTGACTTCATCTTTGCGGCTTTTTACTGTTTGACAGTCTCTCGTTGCAGATTTAACTTGCCAGGAAACCAACTGCGCTGCTTATAAATGCGAATAACGCATCGTTGCTATGTGACCTGCAGTCTGCACGGCAATTCTCAGTCGTTGCGAAACAGGGCTTTCGCGCTATGTTGCACACATCCCGTCTCGAAGATATTTTACTGACACAGAGATCCCACCCCTACTCTCTACAACGAGACCAAAACCAAAGTCACTAAAAACGGGCAGGACGGCTGTAACGCGCTGCGTGGTCATCCACTGCCACTGGATCTTATTTCACCATAACTGCGCATTTTATCGCAGATGAGTGGCAGCAGCGTCTCATGTGCTCCAAAGGCAGTGAATGAGAGCCTTCTAGTTCACTTGCCACATCACTTCCATTTGACTTATTAATAAAAGACATTGGAAGTAAATTCATTATGGATCATTATAAATACTTTGCTTTAAAACTACCAAGTCGGCATACAGTGAGAAAATAAAAATGATGTATAGAAAAAAAAAAGATGCATCGAGATGCATCGATAATCATTTTATAATCGCATCGCAGCCCTCTGAATCGTAATCGAATCGAATCGTGAGGTGCCTAGAGATTCCCACCCCTAACCTCAATGTGTGATTTGTAGTTGGGCTGTTAGGGTACTGATTATGGTTTGAAGATACAGTTGTATGAGTTGTATGGTGGTGAGGAGTTGGAAAAGTATTAGGAACCTATATAAAAAGGACGGGTAACCGGAGTGAAATTAAGAATTCAAACATTAATGATATTTATTATTAACACTTAGCCCTGAGAACCATAGCCTAACTAGACTGGCCTTTTCGTACTACTTCCCGGTATACTGAAACATACCCTGTAGTCGCTGGATGTGACATAGAAGATGGGCAGGAAGGCCAACCAGATGATGCAGGTGGTGTACATGGTGAAGCCGATGAACTTGGCCTCGTTGAAGTTCTCGGGGCACTTGCGGGTCTTGAAGGCATAGACAGTGCAGAGCACCACCAGCACCACATCATAGCTCAGTGACAGCAGCATGCTGGAATCGCGCACGTTGCACTTGAGGATCACCGTCTGGCGCTTCTCGGGCAGAGTGAAGCGGCGTGTGCCTGGCACCTCCAGGAGTAGCCAAACAGATACCAGCAGCAGCTGCACGGAGATGAGTGACAGGCAAATGAAGACCTGTGAGCTGGGGCTGATGAAGCGTGGTCGCTGCGCCCCGCCTTCTTTCACACCACTGAAGATGCGGGCAATGCGGTTGGTCTTGGTCAGCAGCGCTGAGTAGCAGACGGCAAAGGAGGTGCCTAGGCCCAAGCGCCGCAGTGCGCACACAGCCGGCGAGGGCTTGGCGATGAAGACAAAGGTCATGGTATAGGACATGAGGACGCCAAGCAGCAGGATGTAGCACAACTCCCGGCCTGAGGCCTTGACCAGGGGCGTGTCATTGTGCCGAATGAAGACAATAAAGACTAAGGAGGTGCAAACAAAGCCCACACAGGCAATGGAGATGGGGCCGATGGCCCAAGCATCCTCCCACATGATGTAGTCTTCTGGCAGGTCGTAGCAGCCACTCAGGTCAGCCCGGGGCCACTGGCCCAGAGAACAGGGTGCGCACGTGAACTCATCAGGCAGGTACTCGTGGGCCTCACAAGCCGTGCAGATCCAGCAGCAGTACTCACCCGCCTGCATCTTCTTCATCTCGTTGAGAGCGCAAGGGTCACTGCACTGGGATGTTGGCATCATGCCACCCCTTGGCCAACCAATCAGGAACTCATTGAGGGAGAGAGTTTCTGCCCACTCGCCCACCTGGACATAGGTGTATCTGTCACTGCCTGGCAAGCGTTGGTAGTTGAAGATGTTGTAGCGACCCATGCCGTCTCCATATTGGTCAAACTTTACCACGTTCTCTGATCCTGGAGCGGAGAATGGAGCTAGAGGGAGAGCAGAAAGGAGAGATGGAGAAATGAGAAGTCAAAACAATGAATAAGGTGGTAACCTCATAACAATTCAGTTTGGTAACAATTCAATGCACCATGAAATCTCAAATTTCACTTTGATTAGAATTAATTCAATTATTTTGTTGCAGAATTAGATTCAGAACTATTCTTGAACACTGAATACTCTCTCTTTGTTTTATCTGCTTACCAATACTTAAATTCTGTTGTTGCTGGACATTGAGGTCATTCTTTGCAAGGGGATATCATACACGCTCCTGTATAGAGGACATGTTAACCACAAAGATAATAAAAACTGTTATAGGTTTATGACACATCCCTCATAATGCTTCTGAGCATGTCATCGCTTCTTTTTTGGAGCTCTTTGCTGCCCTTTCCCTGCTCTTTGCTGTTGGTACACTTGTTGTCAGAGCCTGAGCAACAATAGAGACATATAAAACTGGCTAACAATGGGACAGTAAGTTAAAGCAGAGGTGATGTTTGTGTGGACAAACTTTTTAATACACTCTGCTTCTTGTGAGCATACAGTGCCCTGTTTTTGTGACTTCCCTTCAATGCAACATCTATTTTAAGTAACATAAAGAACATCCATTGTATATTGTATAAAGAGAAAAAGCTGTGAGTTTAGCTCGTAGACATAGCTCTTTAAATATGTGTTGTAAATATGTTTCTGATTCACACTGAAAAAAAAATAATAAATAAGTTTACCCAGTATGGATGGGGGAAGAAAGATACAATATAGTATAATGATGATCTGTCACAAGGCAGAGACCCAAGTACAGATATTTTATTATTTAATTATTCATATTTGTAACATGCGTTTAGCTAATTTGAAGACTAATAGGTTGCCAAAAATCATATTCTCAGCCCACAAGATGGCACTCACACACTGTCTGGTAAAACTGAGTGCTCTTTTTTGTAGGAATGGTTGGATAGCATAGTGCAGTGGTTCTCAATCAGTCCTTGGGGCTCCCCAGATGGTCCACAGGTAGATGAAACTTATTCTTATGCCACAGTGACTCTGCAGGTAATAGTGGCCCAAATCAGATGTTTTTCTTCAAATGTGACACAGATTTGTCTTTTGTGTAACAGTGTGAACAGCAAAGAACACACTGAATGTAACAGTTCCAATTAGATTTGGGCCCCGTTTTTGTGTCATACTAAAATCCAATGTGTAGCAATGTGACCGCTGTCTGAATGGTCAGATCGGAAGTCATGCGACTTTTACGTCACTCTTAATCTTCATCATAATTCTGCATGTAGGGAACAGATCCTTTATGGTAACATCATCAAAATGCCTACTACTATAGTTATGCTTCACATCTTCTTTCGCTTTGGAGGACGTGTGAGATGAGTGCACGCAGTTTGAACAAATAAGCATGGTCTGTTACAACATGAAGAATCAGACCAATAATCATTCAAAATTAATTTTACTTCAACAATATTTTGAAAAAAGAAAGAAACAAAGGAGGCTAACCGAGATCAATCTCTTTTTCCAGTATATATTACCATTTTGGTATACTGTAGTAGGTAACACCTCTGCCTTCTATGCTGTAGACTGGGGTTCAATTCCCCATTTGGGTAAGCACCCGTGCACTATATCAGTAAGAGTCCTTGGGCAAGACTCCTAACACTACCTTCGCCTACCTGTGTAAAATGTAAAATGTAAAATTGTAGTCGCTCGAATAAGATGCCATATGCCATAAATGTAAATGTAATGGAAAGCCATTTTGGCACTAAGTTTGTGCCTCTTCCCTAGGTTTCTTCTTCGTGGCAATTTAACGAATGAAACTGAGCTTCCACAAATAAAACAAGCACAGAAATCCACAATTTTACTCTTTTCTGTAACCTCTCTCCAGCATGATCACTTTGGTGCCTGCTGTTTTTCCTCCAAGTTTAAAGTATCAGTTTGCACATGTTAAAGTTCAATGTGAAAAGGGTTTGTTAATTTTAAGGAAATATAAAAGACAGCTGTGTTTGTTGGATGAGTGTGGTGTCATATATACAAAGATAATGTGAACAATGAAGCAATGAAATCAGATTTGGGCAGTAAACTGGATTTGAGCCACTTTTACCTGCACTTTACCTAGACTTTATGTCTTGGTTCAGATGTGTTTATATCTGGGTTACAGCAAAAATGTGCACCAGCTGGTGGGAGTCTGAGGACTGGTTTGAGAACCACAAGTGTAAAGGATAACACCATCACACTGCACCATCCAGGCAGAAAACAGGAATGTCACTATTATTCCTATAAAATGCCTTAGGAAGGACACCTACCATTACTTTCACCTACCATTGTTAATCACTCTGGGTAAATTTAGAGGAAGACTTTTTTTAATGTTGACTTCACAGTTGAGTTTTACTTCAATAAAAAAGATTTAAGCAAGATGAACAAAGTGGAAGTTGCAATAAATAAATAGAGACAGCTTTGTTTTGGAGGCATCATTTGCAATCAAAAGTAATAGGCCCAATATACATATCGCAATATATATATCAAAGCATCAGAATATAGCATATCACAGATAGCAACAGAATTTTTTGTGGTTCATGATAATATTGTATTGTGGCAACTGCCACTTGCTCCAGAAGAGGATCTAAGGTGATGTTAAATGTTGTCGTTTATGTTGTTTATGCTGTTGTTCTTTAGTTTAAATGTAGTGTATGTGGTTGTTGTGTTTTATTGTATGGGCTGTGGGCTTAGTGTGGGTTTGGGTATACCATTAGGAGAAATTGTATGGCTAGAAGTGACCTGCCTGCTTTGCCTGGCTGTATGTATCTTTTCTGATAGTGTCTATAAAGAGCACTTCTCATAACAGAATCTTGGCCTCTCCTGTGTCTCCTTCTTTGCCAAGACAATACAGTACTGTGAGGCCTCTAGCGAATCCTACCCGTACTTCTCAGGGTGTCAGTGTTATGCTGACTTCAATTACCATCAGTAACTGTTGCAACATGGCTGCAGGCGCACAAGGCAATTATGCAGCAAGCTCTTAAAACCATAGGGGAACATCATGAACCCTCACGGTAATAGATGCTAAACAAAATGGCTGTATACTGAAATAAAACTTACTATAAAAAGCACCATCTGTGAGAGGAAAGGCAGTTACTGTACAAAGGTGCCGTGGACTTTATGATCTTTCTCACAGTGTTTGAGTTTATGTACTACTTTACATGAGTTTTCTCTCAACATTAACACCCACAGGACTAAAAAAGGATCCCCCAGCAGTGCATTTCTACTGCTGAGGCGAATAAGCAAATCAAGTCTATTACATAGACAGTTGATATTTCAATCTGCAGCCTGGGCTGTGGAGAAGAGAGATGAGGTGGAAAAATAGTGTAAAAAGAGTCCTCAAGGAAGATTGAGTGTGCAGCAGAGTGAAACGTTAAAAACGCTCTTCTTTAGTTTATACTGAACAGTAGGACAGAAGAGTCTAGTATAAAACTTCAACTTATGAAACAGTAATGAACAACTCAATGAGAAGTTTCTTCACACAGGCCCAGCCTGTCAGAAGAATGGACACGAGTGGGACCACTAACAGCTAACGCTGGTCTCAGGTTGGCTGCATGTGTGATTAATCACACGGACTGTAATTGCTCGAAGGGGCTCTGGAAGCTCTACAGGGAATGATGACTCGTCAGATAGGGAAAGGAGGTTAGGCGTTATGAACCACATCAATCATGGAGATAACGTCAATGTCAGCACTGTCACACACGCAAACGCATGCACATACTGCACACGCACATATCTGAAGAGCAGTGGAACACAAAAAATACACCCCCCTATAGATGCACACATGCATATTTGAGTACTTCATCTCGCTGAGGATCACATTAACCTTTAGTTGCCTGCAGTTCATCTGTTCATTTCCCTGTTTAATATCATCCACACTTATAATTAATAATCCTCAGACTCAGCAGACGCCCCACGCACCCTTAGATTAAGTAATCAGCATCTGGTAACAGGATAATTAACCATAATATAATTACTTGCGACAAACACAAATTGCAGTTAATCAGCTTGTACTGAACCTCCAGGGGACACGGTGAACATTCAGTAAACCAACAAAAGCTTCTTAATACAGGAAGGAGGATTTACTTCCCTATTCATATAAACAGTGTTCTGTACGATCAATATATAAAAGTATGACAAGTGTATTATAATCCATTTGTCCTCTTAATGGGGATGATAAGTCAAACCCAGTGCACGAAAGTGCTTTTAATAGCTCTGTTGATCTGAATGGAGCGGGAAGAACAGTTCAGTCCAGTTCACAGTAAAACTTCTCAGCACTAGAATGAAATGAGAATTCAGCTCAGACGGTTTCAGGGGTTTTCCTGATGGATCTCTATTATATTCACTTTTATAATACCAATACTGAGATATTTAGCATCATTCTGATCCCTTTATTTCTTCATTTATTTCCCCCTTTCTTCCTCCTTTCCTTTCTTTTCTTCTTTATAACTCATTTCTCTTCTTTCTTCTTTCTTTCTGTTTTCGTCCTTTCTTCTTTCATTATTTCTTTCTTTCCTTCCATCTTTCCCTTCTCTTCCTTTTTTTTGTCCTGTCTTCTTTATTATTCCTTCATTTCTTTCCTTTTCTTTATTTCTCCCTTCCTTTCTTTTTACTGTCTTCCCCGCTTTTTCTTGTTCTTTTTATTCCTTCCTTTAATTTTTTCCTTCTCTTTTACTCCCTTCCTTCCTTTGTTCTTTTACTTTATTTCCTTCCTTTCTTGATTTTTCCATTGTTCTTTCTTTCTTTCTTCTTTCTTTCTTTCTTTCTTTCTAATTGTATTCCAATTTACATTTTTTGACTCATAACTTATAATATTACTTTTATGATAACATTTGTTGCCTTGCAAACACTGTATTTCATGTCAGGAAATGAAAATTTTAAGCTTTGTTTAAAAACTACTAAGCTTTAAAATGATGTATATATCCACAGAGCTGTCACAAGAGCAGCTTTTTATGCAACAAATGACTAT